CACAAATACAATATAAAAAATCAGATCGGTGAAGAAGCTTAGACAGCGTGTATTTCACTTTGCTTTTTATCAGATTACGAGCCATATTCAGATAATCCCAACTAACATCAGGATTAGTTTTGAAACTGGCGCTGACAACTGTACCCAGGTGTATAAAAGTATTGTACATCATTTAATAGTGTACAATATTAAAAACTGTGGTTTTTCATTGTATTTATATATATTTTGTCCACTTTTATACATTTTGATATAATTAAGCCACCGATTTAACTTTCTTATATGTTGTTGAGTATGAGGAATTAACCAATGTACCGCCTTCAAAGTTATTCCATTCCGAAATAATATTCTTATTCCAATGAATAACTCAATCATCAAAACATTTTTTGAAACGCAGTTTTTGGATTGGACTTCAGACAACGTCGCGAATTCTCTTTTATGCCATCTATAGACTGCAAACGAATGCGCACAGAAGAGATAATTTTAGTTTTAGAAAAAGAAAAAAATCGACCGGAGCTTAAGTATGAAGGCCCTTTAATAAGACTTGTTGATTTTTATCCAAGAAATTGTTCACAATGATTGTTTTTTAAGACAGTGCGTCATATTAATCAATTTCCTTTGCAAAAGTTTTATCTTATTCGGAAAATTTGATCTGTTGAATGCCGCCTAACACTCGTACAATATTCTTTATTTACTAACTCACCTTCCAAGTGCACAACACTGCTGTTATTGATAAAAACTGTCAATATCAGCAATAATAGCAATGACTTTATAGAAAATGCGTGGTATCACTGAATTTTGTGTTTATAACAATATCTGATTAACTTTGGTATACCTAGCAAAATGCAACACTACATGCAACATGTCTTAAGCTTTTGATCCGCAGTATCCGAAAATAATAATAAAAATAAAATTCTTCTCATCAATTTTCCAGATATTTATGAATAATTGTTTCTATATTTTCATACAAATTATTATATTCCAATGTCCTACGTACTAGTAAAAAAGAAAGAATATAACAATTTGAGTTCTATACATCTAGTTAATCTGGATAAAATAATTTTGGGAGTATAAATTTGAAATTTTCTGCTTCTTTTATCATCAAAAATCAAAAATTAATCCAATAAACTAATATATTTTAATACCCATTTAGTTCGAAATCGTATATGCGGATTTTTTGTTTTAACTAAATGTTTACTATTTTCATGAATTATATTATTATATATTATATTATTATCATATAAGGCGATATGATTGAAACAAGATGTTGGTGATGTCTTTTTGAAGTTCTCTAAATTATATATAATAAAACTTAGCATCAGTTTCATATATGTATATATCAATACATATATAAATATATTAAGATAAAAAGCAATATTCTTATTAAAATTATTTTCAAAAGTTTTTTTAAATTATGTTAAAACTAACTTTTTCATCTAATTTTTTTACGATTACTTTTGAAAATTTACAACTTCCTCCCCTGATTATTATGCTTCATAATCAGAATATTAGTATTAAAATATTAAAAAAAATATTAAAGAATAGTTTTGAAATTTAACAATTAAAAATAAAAATATAATTAATTAATTAATTCAATTATTCTACAGCTGGTTTATGATTTCGTTCTAATATATAAATACAGCAAGTAAAATTGTTAATAAAAACTTTCATAACAAAAGTAACAAAACTCCAGAAAAATATGCGAACAAAAAAGTCAAGTACGGATTCGGATCAGTTGGTTAAGCTGCGCTGACTCTGAGCTTCACATTTGGCAGGACCCGAGTTCGAATCCTGGTACTTGCAGTCTCAAAAATAATTATTTACGAATAATCAAATACAAGAATTATTTCCAAGACCACTGATGATGAGTAATTGGCAATACTCGAAAAATCAATTAATTAAAAAAAAAAAAAAAGTTTTTGTTATTGTAGTTTACTACTGTTCGAAAAAACCTCTTTAAAAAATATTAATAAAATTGTATAAATTTAATTATCTTCTGATTATATTGCGAAGGGGATGCTTGTCCCCTTTGATGCTAGTATCAACTAATCGTATACTAAAAATATCTTAGTTCCTGTTTTCACAATATATTTTTATATTAATTAAAATAAAATCATGTAAGTTCAGGATGTATTAACTTTATTTCATTTATCATTAAATTTCACGTGCACACACCGTTCACTGGTCTCTCTCACACCATAAAAAAAACTCACTACTCTTCTTCTTCTTTTCGTTTTATTATTTTTCGTAGTGTTGCCAGCTAGTTCGTACTTGACACTAGTCTATGATGCTAGTACGCCACTGATGGTAGCAAGTCCATATTTATTTTGTCAAGATCGTTGATAAATAATTAAATAGCCGGCCTTCAAATAATATTTAGTTAATAAAATTATTTCAATCTTGCATTATATTTGTACCATTTGGTGGGATGGTCAATACAAAGTTTCAACTAAACAGTAATTATTATTATTATGTTGAAGCCAATTGAGTCAGTGCACTTGAGCACTTTTACTCTCTATTAACTGCGACGTTTCTTCATAACTCCTCTTTACGCCTTTACTGGATTATTGTTTATCAATTCATCAGACTAAGCAATAATTGACTTCAGACCTGCATACCTCCCCGAGGAGCCTGTAACCATTCTGAGATTCGATAACGCGGTGTTGATAAGTCTGTCAGTTTTCGCAAATAATTTCAGGGCTCTATCCTTTATGTATTTTTTGATCAAATCAATCTTGAGGTCCCTGAGGATGTCATTCGTCCTAATGTACCACGGTAACTTGAAAAGTCTTTTCAGTAGTTATTATTGTGTTAAATCTTTAATTGTTACACTTGATAGTCCTGTTGTCATGAAAAGATGTTAATTTTTTTGTCATCACAGTATTTCAGTATTAATTATTATTCATCATAGTAATTTCAATATTGAAATTAGATGCCCTATATGATATAATTTCATTAGTTTAAAATACATTCCAAATAGATGTGTCTTACTTATAAAATACACAGGGTAAAACTTTGAATTTAGACAGTCTCGCAATAAAATTCCACCATGAATGAAAACACCTGCGTTCTGTCTTGTTCAGTTTTTTGGTTATATGCATATGTAAAGAACTGACTTTTCTTAGTTTTAATATATTTTAAAACTGTTAATACTCTTAATTTATATTTGAAGAAATATAATTTTGTATTCAGTTTCTTAAACTTTGCCAGAGGCTTTCTATTATGGCAAAGAATCATTAAATTTTGTGTTTAACTTCACACAGAATAAAATTCAATATTGTATATTAAAATCTGTGTACTTTCCAACTTTTTGTAGATACATGCTTCCCAGTTGCACTAGCAATGTGTTCGACTAATTTTAAGGCGCTTACTTTCGGATTTTTGTTAACTTCTTTTAAAACCAAACTGAAATCCCTACGTGTGAGTTTCCTTGGGCGGACACTTTTCGTGGACCCATCGTGTCAATTAAATACCACTCTCAAAGCACAACTAAGTGCATTATATAAATGTATGACTCATGCCATAAGCATGAAATATGAAAAACGGTACTTTCCCGTTTAACATTTAAATTACTGTCGACTATATCTAACAACCAATGAAGTGTATGTAGACTTTTGTCAATGGTTTTTTTAGGTTTTTTTCGAATAACTTTGTTAATTTATATTGATGAATGGATTTTCTTTTGTTTATTATTATTAAAAAACACTTCTAAACAAAACTGTATCATTACTTTTTTCTATTATGTCCTTGGATTTACGAGCTAGCAAAAATGGGGGGGGTGTATGTAGAGTTTTGTCGCTGACTGTATTTATTGGGTAAGGAATTTGTGTATTTTTTTTGGAAAAAGCAATAGGGGTTTTTCTTTAAAGGGAATTAAGAACAATTACAGAAAAATCAAGAGTGATTAAATATTAAAGAATATCAATAAATATTTTCAAGATAATAAGTATTAATATACATTCATCATCAGCCTTATATAGAAGTCTGAAAAATCTCTTATTGCCTAAGAAACACGGAAATAAATTGAGCTCTTACATCACTACCAAAAAGGAGTCATTAAAAAGTTCTTTATTGAAAGTACTCCTAATTAAAAGATGAAATCACTTGAAAGCTCATTACATGAAGGAATAGCTACAATGATCTGATCAACTAACAACAACAATCCAATGAACTAATAATTGTCACTCAATTGAATTTACGTTCCGGTTCAATGTGGAAAATATGTGCAAAATAAAAGTGGATCGTAATTATTGAAAAATATGGTTGACAATACGACGTTTTTTCATAGAGAATGATGGTAAAAGGTATTAATAGAAAACAGACAAATAGCATGAGTTGGCAACTTGATGTGATGTATTTAGTTTTAGCAATAAAGATTGTAATGACTGATTGCTGAAACGATACTAATATTTCAGTTGGTACGATTTGTAACTTTTTTTGTGGAACACAATTATTTCGTTATGTGGAACGAAATTCTGTGTATAACGTTATTATTTTTTTTCCAAAAATATTTATTTCTTTATTCTCGAAATATATGTAAGAAGTATATAAAAGAATTAAACTCAAAACAAACACTTTTTACTATATACAATTAAATCGATACAAACTATTGCTGGAGTCAGACTATTTCTCATGCATTAGACAACTTTTCATTTAATAAAAAACTTTTTAGATAATTGCATATAACATATAGCAAGTAGTACAGTAATTGGGAGAGATGCCTAGTCTGTAACCTTTTACCCTGATTGCCTGATTTGGTGCACTTTTCGTAGTCATGTATTAAAAATATTGTTATCGATGTGCAAATTCAAATGAATCTGTCACATGCTATTTGCAATTTAATGCTCGTTAATAGGCAACTAAGAAAAAACGATTGCCATTTTTGTTGAAATTTATA